GCAAGACTACAAAGTGAAGAAGAAGCAGCCCCCCCCCCGCCACCACCATTACCCTGCAGTAACCGCAGCAGAACTCAACTGCTTCAAAGCTTCTGCGAGGCTGGAGCTGGGATTCTGCTCAGCTGTTAGGGGAGCAGAAAGGTGTGACAAAAAACCATTGAGCCTACAAAAGTGTTTTGTTGGTTATTTTTCTTTTCCCTAGCCTCGAGGATTTTTCAGGCCCCAGGATGAGTATGGTTGAGCTATTGGGATTTTATATGTTTTTGCGTTGTGCAGCAGAAACCGTAGAGCCGATCACGGGGCTAGGGAGACGTGAGTGCAGTGAGATGCGGAACGGTCGTGCCACAGGGTAGAAGAGATGACGGGGATGTAAAGAACAGAGAGACCCAAGGAATCCAATTAGAGCAGAAAAGTGACTAAATACTGCATTGAAGTGGATAGACATAATGCAGGAAGGCAGAAGCTGCAGATCCTGGGATAACTCTTTGCCTACCGAACTGCTGAGGATGTGTTACATGGAAAACCCCCACACCCACTTGACCCCCTCTCAGAGCACCCCGTTAACCCTTTTGTGTTGAACGCTTCTGTGCCACCACATGGTGACATCCTAAACTGACAGCAGAGAGCAGAAGGGATCCTCAAGGAGACTTGGAGAAGTCCCACCAGCTCCAGGGAGAGGACTTCCCCTTAAGATGCCTTGGCTTCATCCCCAGTGGGACAGCTCGGTGCCTCTTGTGAGACCGGGGGGCCCTGGCTCTGCTTGGTCCGAAGAGGTAGCTTCTCCTCCCGTTGAGGCTGGGCATCGCTCACTTGCTGGGGGCTCCTCTTGCTGTTCTCCTCCTGCCGTGGCTCACGGTTCTTCTCCGGTGGGGGAAGCTCTGCGTCCTCGTGGCCGCGGCTGGTTTCATCTCTCCGGGGCGGCTGGGGACAGCTTTCTTTGGCAGCTTGCTGGCCCAGCTTGCAACCTTCCCGTACCTCTGGAGCCTGAGGCAGAGGTGGGCAGCTCTTGGCCTCCCTGTCCTCACACTCTCTCACTTGGCAATTGGATTCGGGCTCCCACGGGACCTGCTCTGTGGCAGGTTTTGATCCCTCTCCCCGGGGCTGATGCTGCTTCTCTTCCGCATCAGGCATGTTGGGGCGCTGGCTGTCCCTCGTGTCCTCCGTGGGCTTGGGCTGGTGAGGATCACCCTTAACATCATCTGGCTTGGGGGCAGAAGCCTGGTGATTCCCTTCCTTCACCCTGGTTTCAGACCTCTCCCGTGGCTCATTACGATCCCCTGTCTTTTCCTGGGAGCTGGAAGCTGGTGTGTCCCCTTGCTGTGGCGGTTCAGGCTCCCCTGTTTCTCGCTCGTCCCTTTGGGGTTGTGGCTCTGGGTGGTTCCTCTTGTCACATGGGACTGCTGGGGCCTGGGGCGACACGTAACACTTCTTCACGTAGATGGGCTGCCCCACATCGTGGGGCTGGTGGCAGATGATCTCATAGGTGTTAGCTTCAGCATCGTTGGAATTCTGAATCACATGGATCAAGTATGCGATGGTCTGAGGCTCGCAGGGCTGAGGGACGATGCGCGCCTCTGGCTGTACATCAGACTCGGAGAGGATGTAACGGACCCTCATGTCAGAGACAGATGCCTGCTCTCCTGGGGGGCAGAGGTCTCTGTTATCCACCTCCATGGTTTGGTAGAGGCTCCTCGCGTGCTTTCGTTGTTCATCCTTGTGTGTCCAGCGCCTGTTTTGCTCATGTGCTTCTTTGTCTTCTAAAAGTCTGTGGTTCCTCTGGTCTCGGTCTTCTGAGGGCTCATGGTGAGTGCTCTCAAATGGCTCACGCCGTAATTCATTTGCCTGCTGGTGGTACAGAATACCTCTATCCTGTTCTTCAAGTATCTGGAGGTTGCTTCTCTCACGTGTGTCTCTCTGGGTGGCCG